CCCCCAGGCCGCGCCCGCGCAGGGGCCGCTCGGCCGGATGAGGGGCCCGTGCGGCCGTTAGGGCCGCCGGGCGCGGTTCGTTGGGGACGTTGGGCGCCGAGGGGCCGCGGGGCGCAGCCCTCCCAGCCCCGGCCCTGCCCTGAAACCCTGTCCACGCGCTGGGAWGCGCCTGGCAGCTCCACTACCGAAATACTTTATTATTTGATATAAAACCAAATAAAACCAAATCTGCTTGGGCAGCCCAGGCACGCCATGTCAGCCGCATGTGCGCTGATGCCCGTGGGTGCTGCCCCGGGCACGCCAGGCCGAAAGGTCTGGACGTGACCACCGTGATGAAGGTGTCACGGTGCCACGTGGCTCCTTGGGAACAGGAGAATTGTGTAGGAACATCCTCCAAGAACATCCTCCAAGAACATCCYCCAGACAGAGGTGTCGGAGGAAGCTGGCTCAGAGGAAGGGGTGATACCCCCACCTTCCAGCAGCTCTGTATTCCGAGCTCTCCCGATCGGAATCCATTCAGTATCAATGTAATAAAAAATAATGGAGTTTGTGGTTGCTTTTTTTTCCCTTGTTTTTAATCTCCATGATTTCAGCAAATCTTATGAATACTGGAGGATCTGAGTCACAGTAGTCAAATGGTCACACTGATCTGATAAAAGAAAAACACATTTATATGTTTAYAGAAAATGCTTGTGTCTTGGGAACCACTGATAACAGCAGTTTGGTTCATTTGCAAGACGTCTTGTGATAGCTGATGTTTTCATTAAGGGCTGCACAAGTCAGATGATTACATGAATGACTTCTAAGTTTCCATGCAATTTTATTTTTTTTTCTTTCTGACCACACATCACAAAAAGAGAAGTTGTTAATCTGATGCATATGTACTCCAATGGGGTACAAAAAAAAACCCTCACATTTTTAAAACTGTTTTGAGGATGCTTGTTAAGTAGCTTTGCAATAAGCACCCCCAGTGTGTACGTTCCATTCTGGGTGAGTTGCACTGTACCTTTGCAGTGGGAAAGATAAATAAACTTAGATTTATTCTTTTTGCATGTGCTAGCATCCTCAGTAGTTTGCATCCAAACCAAAGGAAATTAAACATTTGCTGTCACTCTCATTTATAAAGGTTATTTTGTAGGATATAACATTAACTGCTGCTTTTTGTCACTCTTTGGGTCATTGCCTCCTGAGGTACCTCAAGTGCCTCCCTTTCCTTCTTTTCAGATCATATCCCAYTCTTCAGCTTTTGGTCCCTTCCCATCAACCAACATGTCTTACACAGATCCTCCTTTCAGCCTAGGCCTTGGTTTAAGTTGTGCTTATCTCAGCAGCTTTGTTTAAATCTCAGACAGGCATGGCAGAGATCTAAATAAACATTTTGTAAGAATAAATCTTTCCTGACGTAAGTATATAAAAATTAGAATAAAATGTTACTGAGAAGTCTCAGTGCATTCCACAGAAGATCTCAGTAGGGTTGGGTTGGAGAGATCTCTATAGAAGAAATAACTATCTGCTTGTGGTCTCTGACCCACCCCATTAAATCCTACAGTCTTGCAGGAACTGGGATATTTTAGTAACCATTTTTAYAGACTTTTAAACCTGTAGTCTCTCCAAATGACAAAGCAGTGATGGCACTACACTGACGATGCTAATGCTGTTGTCTTTTAAGCACGTTCTTGGGGACTGTTTTTATGGAAGCCACTGTGTTGCCCTCCTTTACTGGTCCCACCTTATTCAAGTATTTTAGGCATACAGCAAATATCCTGTGACCTGTAATTTTTTAGAAACTTGTTAGCATTGCTAGTTATGAGCTTTAATAGCTCTGAGTGTGTTGGACCAAATCTTTAGTCAGACCTAGTATTCTACACATATTCCACCAATCTAAGCTTTGACAAAAGCAGGCAATAATAATGGAGATGAGTTAATTGCATACTTAGATAGCAGAACTAAGAAAGACATATTCTCTCATTAGCAGAGAATAGTTTAGCCTTTCATGTGTATTTAAAACAAGCAGGACAAAGGACCCCAGGCAGGTGGGAGACTGAGCGGAGCCAGRAGTGAGGGGAGAGACTGCGGGGAGCGTGGAGTGAGGGGGACCCAAAAGAGTCAAGTGRCCTGAGGTGCCAACACGTGGAGGGAGGCAGCGGTTGGGTGTAGGCGGCCGGGCAGGCTGTGACTCCTGAGTCCCTTGGCCAACGGGGAAAAGGAGAGGGCACCGCGGCCGGGAAATCAGGATAAAAGGAGGGCTGCGACCCCTGGCAGCTTGAGAGACCCCACAGGGATATGCCCGGTGGACTCTCCCTTTATTCGAATAAAGTTTTAGGTCTCCTCTGTCTCCGTTTGGACATTCAGTTCTTGACAGCGAGATTTTTCTGCACAAAGTAAGCATATGATGTAAATGTAATTGTATTATTTGTTAAATGTTAGGAAAGCAAGAACAGCTCATTACCTTGTGGATTTGCTTAAATGTCATGTGTTTCAAAAGATCTTTCCTGCCTTTGGTTGATCACAGGCCACTCTGCCCTCGAAGTTTATGTATTTCCATGAGTTGATCCTCCATGTGAGCAGCTTCATGCAGCCACTAAGGAACAGCATGAGGCCAAGCTTTTGAGGAGTACCTGGGTCTACAAAGTGCTCATTCCTGCACAGTGGTGTTTCTTAAATCCAAAAGTGTCTCCATTATAGAGAAGATAATGATSTTCAGTAGGTTAAATATTCATGGTGTCACCCATAACATTTTGCACTTGAAATCTTCCTGAACATTGTGAAGAAATGTCACCGAGTCAAATCTCCAGATGCGAGTCAGTGTTTTGCTTAAACAAGATGATTCTTAAATGTTTCAATGAAATACTGTGGTAAACATAGACAGTAACATGGCCACAAACAGATCCTTTGGTTGTGATCTGATAGGTACCCTGAGAATTATCCACCATCTGCTTTCCCCACGCTGCCACCTCATGGTTACTAAGAGTCCTACTAGCGATTTGAGCGCTAATTATTTCTTGAAGGCTTAGAAAATATTGTTGGATTTATGCTGAAGCCAATTACTGAGTTCACGAAAGCTTAAAAATGAAAACTCCTGTGCACAAAGGTAAAAATATTAGTCATCACAATAACAGAAGGAATTTTGATGTGCTCCTGTGCAATCCCTTAACTAATACATTTTGTTCCTGTGATCATATTTGAATGTAAATCTCATGTGTAACAAATAAGATACTTTAAAAGTAAGGTATGCTACGCCAGAGGAAAAGAARGTACAGTGACTTTTTGTAATAATGAAGGGCAACATATGTACAACAATCAGAAGGTATGTATGTTTCTGAGTCCTGCTTGGTAGCATGTCAAAAACAAATACTATGGAAAAATAAATGAAGAGGGATATAGAAAGTATTGCATTATTGGTATTATATTTCTCCATTGCTACCACTGCTTTAACTTACACAGATGGAAAGGTTTTATTCTTTTCTAATATGGAGTTTAGAAATAGGCATTTAACCATCTTGGCCATGCACAGTTAGATGTGCAATAGCTATTTTGCTTTAAAGGTCCAAGATAAATTCCCGGAAAAATGTCAYTATTAATCCCTCTAAAATACCACAGCCAATATAATCCATGGTTATGTCTTATTTACTTACTATCTGATTGCATGTCCTTTATTTTTCAGGGTTTTTTTTTTTAATCCCTAGGTCTCGTGTAGTATCAAATATGCCTATATTGGCTCTTTTCTTTTTGAAGTACAGGGATATGTYTGCTTTTTTTCATATAATAGCTTGCAAATGTCAGATTCCTTTGAATTCCTCACTATTGAACTTGGAATTTCTCTTGTTGGGTCTTGAGGTATCTACATCTTGAGATGCAGAGTGGAAGCTGGGTGGCTGCCACTGCCGTGTAGGATATTCTGCTGAGCATGGGTGTCCTGAGGCGAGATTATCCAGTGCCACCTGGCGCTGATGTTTTGGTCTGTAGTGTCTTGCCATGGAATAGTATGTACTGTGTGTTGCTTATTATAGGCACTGGAGATCCTTTAATGAAGTTAATGAAATCTAGAGAGTGAATCAGCTCAGCCTGATCTGTCTGGCCAGCTTAAACATACTCTAAATTCTGTAGACTATAATGACTAAATTCCTATAAACTACAATATTAAATTTCAGATGGACTAAAACTGCAGTGATGAACACTGTGGGAGGGACATTAATTATTAACCCTGTAATATTATTGCTTATTACACATGCYTATTTTTGCAACTCCAAATTCAGTGGCAGCAGTAGATTTTCTTCTTCAAGACACGTTCAGAACATATCCTGCTCCTTTCTGACCAAACCAGTAGGGYAACGTCCTTTACTGTGCTCCTCAGCAGAAGGCATTTACTTATCACATCCTGGATGACACTTAGGATGTTCCCACCTAACGATCTGTGTGGACTGGCTCCTGGGGCCGGTTTCTCCTTGGTCTAGGGTTGCTGAAGCAGCCCTTGGTCTAGGCCAGGCCCAGTCATGACCCGCCCTGGGAGGCTGATGCAGCTCTCAGAA